AAATTCAGAAACAAACAAACAAACAAAGCTACCAAGAGGCATGTCTATGATTCAACATAACATTTTTGATAAAATATTTCCCATTGACACTGAAATTCGCCACCGTATTCTTAAAATAATATTAAAAAAAAACATTTGTACAGTTTCATTTCAAGAATTCAGAAGAATATATAAACAGCATCAATGATATATATATTATTCAGATGCTTACATAACTATAGATTACTTATGATAAGAAAAAGACAGCCTAACTACCATAAAACACGAATACTAGTTTTGAGTAAAATCAATCTAAGACTTTTTATTCATTGAAACACAAAATATATTCAGTTATTTTTTTTTTGTTTGTGCATTTCAACGCTTCATGGTAAATTAACGCAGACCGTCTGTATAGGAAGGAAATGAAGCTAAAAGTGAGAGATTTGGAAGAAGCGAGTGATAGAGAATTTAACTAATAAAATCAACTTTCTAAGACAGCAATAAATGAATGATACACTTGAGTAATTTACACGTTATTGAATATGTTTAATCCAGTTATACAGAATTACACGTTACCTTTCATTAAAACTTTATAGCTCTATGGAGATAAACAGAAAGACAGAGAAAACAATCTTTATTCAGCTAAATGTGAAGGTGGAATTAATCCACTGCCCAACACTTAGGTTATATTTCTCTTCCTTTAATTACCGACGTGTGTAGTCTAAATATTGCATCAAACTGAGTACTTTTATGTTTTTGCCTGTTACAACACTCGTTTTGTATGTAAAATACGTAAAGGACATCAGCTGTAATTAGTGTGTTAATTGTAATATTAATCGTATTTTTATTTACATTTTGTGTGTGACTTATGTCATTAAGGACACAGTAAGTTACAATGAGATGAACCCGCAATTAATGTGTTTTATATGTAGTTTAGAAAATATGTAGTTCATATGTATTTTTAAAAAGTCGATAAGGTCCCCACGTCATCGATGCTTTCTGGGTTAATCTCGCCCAGTTTTTATGTAGTTCTTGTAACAATAGTTTTTAAATATAAAAGTACAAAAATTCACACAAATTCCCATGATAATGAAGGTCATAAACTTTTAATGATATCTCGATCGTTGAACTGTGGTAAAGTTAAACATTTCTAGTTTATTAGTGCTATATAATTAGATAAATAATCATTGAAGTCCCTCAAATTCTGTATAAGAGCCAACTTCGTTATATTAATAAATCAAGTAGTCTCAAAACTTAAATAAGTCACAAAATAAGAAACCCGATAACCTGAGCACCTTTGGAAAGAAGATATTCCTTCTACAGAAAACCCGATAACCTAAGCGTTTTTGGAAGACAAATCTTTTTACAGAAACCCAATAACCTGAGCACTTCTGTAAGGATGATTTTCCTTCTAGAGGAAACACGATAATCTAAGTAATTTTGGAAGAAAGATCGTTGTACAGAAACCCAATAACCTCAGCACTTCTGTAAGGATGATTTTCCTTCTAGCGGAAACCCGATAATCTAAGTAATTTTGGAAGAAAGATCGTTGTACAGGAACCCGATAACCTCAGCACTTCTGTAAGGAATATCTTCTTTATACAGGAAACATGATAACCTAAAAACTTTCAGAAGGAAAATTAAGACATTTCTTCTACAGGAAACCCGATAACCCGAGCATTTTCAGAAGTAAAATTATCCTTCTATAGGTTTATTCTCCAAAGGCAGTTTGGGTTATTGTGTTTCTTGTTCTGTGTTGTAAATTCAGTTCACAGTGAAATATCAAATAAAAAGGTAACGTACCAGATATCCCATCGTATGTCCACCATTCTTCCCAGCTTCCAAGAGAAACTACAAAGAAATAATATAACTAAAAATATATTTAAACACAAATACAACAAAAATATTCCTGCAATACAATAAAATATTATTTTAAACTAGCTGGAGTACCTGTTCCTTGGATGGAAGTTATGTATATTCATGATTAACGAAAGGTTATCTCAGGAAATGAAAAGTTGCTTCCCTTATTTGTAATTGTAAAAAAAAAAATGGACCAAATGAACCTCCATACCAATTTTGGTGAAGATCCACCCTGCGAAGTAGTTACATGGACATACAATAGACAGTACTATTATATTTATATAGATTCACTGTTTCTGTTTCTATTGAATGAAAAGGTTTTCGGAAGTTTAGGTTTTTCAATATAATTCATTTATGCATAGTTAAGAGATTTCCCGAGTCATTTGTGTAACAGTTTTTACAATAAGAACTGCTAACCTTCTGCAATAACAATTGCAGTTAATAATACATAAAAAAATATTTTATTTATTATTTCTTATTAAATATTTAGTTAACGTAATAGGTTTACATTTTAAAACAAGTTGTCGTGTTAAGAGATAAAGACGTTGTGGTAGTTTGAGTTCTTAAACTCGTGGCTAACTAAGGATTGCTGTCGAGTTCACCTTTTTAGTTTAGTTGATGGAAAACTTGCCTAGTATAGGAAACGTCTCAGGTTCGAACTCCGACCATGTAAAATGGGAATACTGACTGGTATTTTTAGAAATGTAATAGACCCTTGATGCTCATAAAATGAAGCTTAGAATATGTGTACTTAGAAGCGTTTGTAATGCTTACAAAATATAAAATTAAGCAACAAATATGATTTATGCAGTCAGAAATTTGGTAGTTTTTTATGCACATGAACTATAAAACAGACGTTGGTCTATGTAATTAAGAAATTAGTTGTTTTTATGCTCGAGAACTGGAATAACAGACGTGGGGCTGTATGATTGGGAACTTGGTAGTTTTATGTTCTAGAACTGGAATTAAAGAAGTGGGTCTTTATGATTAGGAACTTGGTAGTTTTTACGTTCGAGAACTGGAATAACAGAAGTGGGTCTTTATGATTAGGAACTTGGTAGTTTTATGTTCTAGAACTGGAATAACAGAAGTGGGTCTTTATGATTAGGAACTTGGTAGTTTTTACGTTCGAGAACTGGAATAACAGAAGTGAGTCTTTATGATTAGGAACTTGGTAGTTTTATGTTCTAGAACTGGAATAACAGAAGTGGGTCTTTATGATTAGGAACTTGGTAGTTTTTACGCTCGACAACTGGAATGACAGAAGTGAGTCTGTGTGATTAGAAACTTGGTAGTTTTTACGCTCGACAACTGGAATAACAGAAGTGAGTCTGTGTGATTAGGAACTTGGTAGTTTTTAATTCTAGAACTGGAATAACAGAAGTGGGTCTGTGTTGTTAGGAACTAGTTTGTTTTTAGTGTCCAAAAATCGTTTTTGTTTATTCCTGATCCCTGGGGAATAAAAGTGTTTACTATACTTTGCATTATTATGTTATTAAAGTTTCACTAATCTTATGATAAGTATAACTTTTTCATTTGTCCCAGAGACGGAGTTGTACCGCACGCTAACGGCATCTACGAATATTGCAATGTACTAAACTAAAACTATTTATCCAGAAAACTACCATCCTCGTCTCCATTATTTCGGTTTTTGTAATTTTTGCCAGTATCGCCAATAGCGTTATGATAAAGTGATATTTTTCAAATTGATTTCAATCAACCAATTAAGAAGTCTTTCATTCACTTTCATATACATTATATATATATATATATTTCATGTTATTTGAAATCTCTCGTGACTTCTGAGACTAAATTCGCTAGTCCCCAGAAGGGTTTAGGCTGTTTTAATTCCCCAACGTGAACGCTTAGCAACAAAAGAATTTGGATGAAAATTTTAGGCTCATTACTAGATTTCAAGACGAGAATCGGTTCTTTTTAATTTTGTTGTGTGTGTGTGTGTGTGTCAGTAAAATAATCTTTGGCATAGAAACGACTTGAAAGATACTTTTCTTGCAAGTTCTGCAAGTCATTTTTTGACATTTTTAAACAGGGATGTGAAACAGTAAAATTAATACCACAATGTGTTTTTTTTTTAAATATCGTCTCTTTGGCTTTTTTAATGGCAATAAACCAAAATTTCTTTTATTTCCAATATTAATAATAATTAGTTTGCAGATACAGAACAAACTTTAAACAACCTACAGGTTGTCAAGGGTGCGCTATATTCAACTTATATATTTATTCTAGCTCATTCTAAATATAGTTGGCAATTGAAATAAAAAAACGAATCACAAGTATCCTTAATTTATAGAAAAGTGGGAACGAGATCTGAGAAATATAGCATGCTTGACTTGTACCTTAAACAAAGTAAAACACAGTTATTTGTAGAACGGTAACATTTTTATTACACGAACATACGTCACAAATTTTTTAGTTTTATTCAGCCAGTGAAGGCATTTAGTGCGCCCATTTGGCACGAAATTTTATATGCTGGCGCCTATAAATAAACTTGAATAATTGCTTGAAAATATCATGAGACCTGATAAGGTTAAATCAAACTTTGATAATCAAAACGAAGTCCGATTAACATAATTTTCTCTCATTGACATATTATATATATATACGGAGGTTGAATACGTTTATATTAAAATGATTTTCGAGCCTCACCACGTCGTTACGATCCATGTCGCCACGCCTGTTCAGGCTTTACCTGACGATCGTGCATCTTGTCAATAGCCCTACATCATAGTTTCTATTACAAAAAAGCTCTGTCATGATGTTACCACGTTTAAAGCACACTTCTCCTGCCTATATACTTACCAAATGTATTTAACGTACAAAATCGACGCTTTTCCAAAGCCTGTTTCAACGATCCGATCGCACAGAAATCTATAGGTAGTAAGTCTTGCGATTTAACCGGCATCACTTGGTATGGAATAATACGAATACCCGTTTCATTTTCCAGTTGATTAATTTATGGACGGTTGAACAGATACGTTGTAAAAACAATTTGTTACAAAGCGTAACATTTGTTTGGTTATTATTGCTTGGGTAAGAGTTATTGAAGGTCTCTTTCTGTGTGGTCCCGGTGTCCCAAGTTGATCAATATTCTTTCTTTTTACAATGCTATTAAGTACAAGCGATATTTCCTTTTCTGAATTTATAAGTACCTGATCTTAGCACATCTTTATGACCTGAATGTATGAACATTTTGCGTCGAAACGGGATCAGTTGTCAGAGTCATTACACTACATATGAACGCCAAACAATTTCAAGATGTAATCCTGATACATCCCATTCCACCATGACTTTATATCGGCTGTGGCTGACATGAGACTTGTTGATTTGTGTATTCGAAATAGTTTTAATATAACGTACTCAACCCCCTGTGTATGTATATATCTAACTTTATAGTTGTCTGCCATAAACAAATCATTAAAAATTAGCAGCTGCGAAAAACTACTTCGTGATTTGAAGTTTACAGAGTCTAAACTTTATCACTACTGTACCAAATGGTTTAAATTTACACTTACAGATAACAGAAATGTAGCATTCTATGCAGAGAGATCAAATAACTAAATGTATTACACACCCACAGAAATAGAAATGTTTTAGACCAAGGGCAAACACTTATGGGATTTGAAAAACAAAAAAATATTAAGAAAATAATCTCAAACACAAATACTTTGGGCTTACGTAAATACAAAACAATTTTTCAACGGTTATTTTAACATACTTAAACATTCCTTCTTTAAGCAGCTTACGTTGTTAACCTTATTCTTCCAAAACATCTTATTATTTTTTAGTTGCTATATTTTAGCCAGTAAGTAATATCTTTTTATTCAGTCAAGTTTCACAAATTATTTTTATGTAGTATTTTATCTACGGCTGAGCTTTTCTCCATCTGCTAATGTGTTCCTTCGATTTATTTTATAGAATACAACTATTTCTTTAAACACAAAATTTTTGACTGTTGATTTGAAAGAACTTTTGATTTGATGGAAGCAAATGAATACAAGTAAATGGTTGCGAATTTGTCTTCATTTTAATGGACTTCGTTATTACTTAAGGAATGTAGCAAAAGAAGCACAAAACAAATACTGATAAACGCCGGAGACCCAAACGAAACACAAATGGATAAGTTGTGCTGATCGGTTTTCCTATACTTTTTTTTTTAGTCAAAGAAATACACTCTTCTTCCGGAGGTTCGACCATAGAGCAACGCACGCATGTAGAGCATCTGTTATTATACGTTTGCATGTAGACCGATGTAGGTAGATGCAAACTCTGAGTATTACACTTGAATAAATCGATTTTAAGTCCCTATCAGAGTTTCTATAAGTGTTCTAGCATATGTTAGCGGGGAAAAGACGTTTCCCTACATTCCTGAGAGGTCGAGTGTTTTTGTTGAACGAATAATCAGCGCTGAAAAGAGAAGAAAACTTAAAAAACACACACACACACACACACACAAAGAACTGTGAAGACTGCAGTAAAGAAAAAGTTGTACATAAGTCACGCAAATTCAAGTTTTAGATATCGACCAAAGATGCGCACCCATTTAAGCTGCTGATTTATTAGCCACTAAAAACCTTACTAAATATGATGGGAGCAAGCTTGCTCTGTAAACAGCTTTAGGCTAATGGTGCTGATGACGTCATTAAGATGATTACTGGTACCAAATTACGTTACTTAATTAGTAAACAAAATCTTATCATTGTTTGCAAGAGGAAGACAGAAAATGAGTCATTTGTAATATTAGTAGTGAACGGTTATGAAAGTTCCAGAAGCAAATCCACTGCCTTCATTTTGCCTCGAAAGCATTTACGTAGAAGTGCATGTATACGGAAAAGTTGATTTAAATGAAGATAAGGAAACAGATAAATCAAACTTGGCTAAATTTCATTGTCTGAGATACAGATGAAAAGGAATTAGAACAAAGTATTATCCAACTACCAAATCCTTGATTCTTAATGGATAAGTAAAACTTA